GAATAATGTTAAAAGTTTCAACTCAAAGACCTGGTTTCCTGTGTTGGCACCAGTCCTAACACTAAATGTTAACACAACAAGCATTTTTACATCTTCATTTTAAAGAGAAATTAGGAGACAGATACACTCAAACTGAAATAACTTCCCGTTTCTCTGTGTGTGAACACATACAGGGTGCATTTCTGACAGAAACTCACTGTGCTTCCACTGTGTCCTTCAGGATTTCTCCATTTGCTCAGATTCACTGAAGTCTCAACCACACTGCAACAGCTGACAGACTTTTCAGCATACAGTTACAGCTTAAACAAACATATCTTCAAAGAATGGTAGAAGGTGGCATTAAAAATGAACACCTACTCTTGTTCTATGTTCCTCGACCTAACAAGTGCATCTCCAAGGCCAGAAGCTCACAGCAGAATGTATCAAAAGCACTGGCTGTATGACTTATACCGTTCATTTACCTCAACAGTTCTAACTCTCCGAGAATATACTCCAGGTGGAGAATAAGTTACATTACCCTAAACATGTTCACTGTGGATTAAGCTAATGCAGCCCAAACTAGGATGGCTAACAATGCAAAGCTACAGACCTCAACTGATGTACTAGCTGATCCCTATACCTACAGTCTGTAGTATTGTTGACTTCAGAAAGTTCAATTGCTAATGCAGAATACATCTTCCAGGCTCAGTCCCCAGTGAATAAAAAGTTTCTAACAGAATCTGACAGCTGTTTAAAGCCTGTATGAATGAAAAAAGGATTTAAATCTGAAACTCTAACTGAGCATCCCCATCGCTCAAATCAGTCTCCAAACCATATTTCTGCACGTACAAACATCAAGGACCAGGAAAACAGTAGCTATAGAGGGAGGGGAAACTTCACTACAGCCCCTCTCTACCAGGGCAGAGCTCTAGAGCAGCACAGGAAGACCAGGATTTCCAGAGTCTGTACAGCACCTCATAGGTGGGCAGGACTTCTCTTCCATGACGATTAACTTGACACATCTCACCAGCATGAGGCATTTCTACATGACCAAAAGAAAAGATTTTGCAGTCAAATGAAGGGTACAAATGGTGAGTACTAACTCTCAGCTGATGTATGTACAACCAAAAAACATATTCAAAACTCTTCCCAAAGAGGGGAATTTCAGGTCTTCAAGGGTGTGACTCTCCAAGGCTTGGCAAAGCCACTTCTAACCTCACCAAAGTTTAATATGACTAGGAGTGTTTACAAGCACAAGAACTAGGCCAAATTCAGAATGTAAATATTTGGATTCAGTTCCCCAAACTTGCCTCTATCTGTACTGCCAACTTAATCCCAACTGCAGACCAAAGAATCCGAAAAGCAACAGTTGCACACACTTTATAGCGCACTATAGACAAAACTAACACACATGGCACTCAACACTGGAAAGAAAAAAAAAATTAAAATATCCTAATTCATAATCTAAACTGATTTTATATTAAACAAGGCATCAATGAAGTTTGGATCAAAACTCAACTCCGTTATCATTTGGTACATTTTAAAAGCCTGATCAGTGCAGATGTTGGTCCTCTGCACTCAGGAGACTGGGTTGCATTAACCATAGCTAGATTACTCAAGACCCTGCAGATAACATGACAGCTCTAGCACACAGTGGTAACTTTGCCCTAAACCATATTCTCTTAAGCCATCCAAAGTGAGTACTTCCATTTTTCAGGCAGATGAATTGCCTCAGTCCCATATTCAGAATTGATTTAGGATCACAAATCACCTGGGGTTCTCAACACCCATGCCTTTTTCTTTTCTTTTCTTTTAAGTTTTACTCCAGTTCTTTTAGGTATAGGTAAGGATGGCAACCGTTCAAGAGACTTTTGACCTCCCACAAACACACATCCCAAGGGATACACCATATTCTCATCTCCCAGTTCCCAGCCCTTCTCTGAAAGTGTTAAACGCCTTTCAGTCCTACATCTACATTGCAGTCACTCTCTGGAGGGAATCAGAAAGGCAAGGGTCACATCAAGACCAGGATTATTTTTTTTTAACGATAAGAATTTGGGCCTCCTCACTCCCACTACTGTAAACTAACAAAAAAGTCCACCCTTTCACTCTTCAGTTAAGTGGGAAAAGCACAAATCTGGTTCTTTCACTTTACTCAACTGTGGGAAACTTGGTTTTGCTTTCCAGTTAAAAGCAGGCTCTTCGGTGCACTTCACAGTGACCTCTTCACAAGGGGCTAGTATCATTTCTTTAAATGCCCCTATACTAAAAATAGTCCTGCTTCCTAAACACGAGTGCTTTGCTGTTCCAGGCATTCTGAGATCCTGCATACCACTTTATTTTTTTTTTTTAACTGGCAACATTTATTTAACCAACAATTAAAAAAAGGAGGCCCAGTCGCCCCAGTGATTCTTCCCAGAGGGTCTTAGATGTTTATGAAACACAATGAAAACAATAAAGTGGATAAAATCATGCTATTCCATCAGGTCCTTGGCAAGACTTCCCAACCAAAATAAATTGGCATGGTATGTTACAGTCAACAGATTACACAATGGTTTACAGGGTCACCAATAATAAGGGGTCACACGCTCCTTAAAGAGCTACAGTATATGTTAAGTCACTTACTTAAAGGGAGAGAGCAATGCTTGGTCCTGAGCTCCTTGAAGCACATTCTGGCAGGCACAGCACAAACACGCTGCAGGGGTAAGAGAGGACAGAAGGCAACTCTCCTCCTCCACTGAACCAGGAAGGGCAGTGACTACACTGTGCAAGCTGGCTGGGGGAGTTTAGCACCCTGAAGGGAGTAGCAAAAAGCCAAGCCAGGCAGGGCTCTCCTATTTCTGCATACGAGAGACTACATGCTATGGACTTTTAGGAGCAGGACAGTCTCTATTACCCAGTGATGCCCAGCACCACCATCCCTATCACCTCTTCCCAAGAAGTCCCACTTCATGATCTCAGAGGAAATTGGTTCCAACTCAGAAGAAAGATTTCATCAGTTCCATATCAGTCTAGTCGCTCTTAGCTCTTAGCAGTCACTCTTAGACTGTAGCTACTTTAAAAAGTGCTTGACTATACTCTCAGGTAACTTGTTAAAGTCATCACAATTCCTTAAATGTGTTGCAGTTTTCCTTTAAATAACTAATCTTAAAGCAAGAGGGAAATGAATGATCAAACCCATAAATCTTACTCTTACCTGTCAACCTGGTTACAGATTTCTACTATGTCATCTTCATAACCTGATTACCACAATGAAAGTTAAATTTTTATATTCCTAAAACCCACATGACTTTCTCGAATCTCACCCTAAATGCATGATACTTCTACCTTTGCTCTGTTAATTTACCCTTCCACTATATGGAATACTTTCATCTACTAACTATAAATTAATCATGTATAAACAAAACATTATCAAGTCTTAAAGGCAAATCAGCCTCACTTCAATTCACGCTATCATCAAAAATCAAACTATAACTCATGGTTTCATCCTTCATCTTCCACAGGCTTTGATCACTCTAGATGGTTTTTATTGGACTATTCAATATATGGCTGAAGTTAAAATCAGCAAAAAAATGAAAGAAAACGTATTCCCCAAACTCAGTACAACAGCAGAATAAGGGTGTAGAAAACACTACTACTAACATACTCCATGCAGTAATGCTATGCATCCGGTTTTATTTAGCTTGACTACTATATTCAAAGTCCATTTGAGAGATAAAACTGAAGTAAACTCAAGAAGGCTCTCTCATATGTAGCCACTACTCTTTGATTGCAGTGACCTTAGTAATGGAAACGTTTGGTACCAAGCCAAGAGCAGTACATCTGATTTTCCCACCAAGTGAACTGCTGAAGCAGCTCCCTTAGCTCTTCAGCCAAGTCTGTCTTGGGATCCTAAAGTCTTCCGCCGGAGTCCAGGTGGCTCCTCTACTCTTTCCAACACGCACGCAAACCAAACCCTGCAGCCGGCTGGACAGACGATGCGAGCGGGCATTGCAAGGGAAAAGAAGTGCCGCGGTTCCCCGCCTCTCCCCAGAGCAGAGCCCCGCGCTCGGCGCGCTGGCTCCCTAGGCGGGTTGGAGTTATCCCAGTCCCGCCGAGGTGGTCTCCCGGGCTCTGTCCCTCCGCAGCGCCTCTGCCCACGCCACCCACGCGAAAACCAGCGTCCCGCGGGCTCAGCGCTCACCAGCGCGGGAGCACCGACTCCGCGCTCCGCCCGTGCGCAAGGACCCCGCGCCCGTCCGCGCTCCCCCCGGGCAGGGCAGGGTCCCGCAAGGATAGCGGGGCCAGCCCGCACCGGCACAGCCTCCGGCAGCTCCGTTGCCCCAGGGGCGGTCCAGGGGACCCTCGGTGCCCGGGGAGCCCCCGCCGCTGCCGCCGCGCATCCCCGGCCCGCCCCACTGGCGGGAGGCGGGCGGCTCTCGGAGCGCACGGACGACGACCCTCAGCACGACCGATCGCTTCTCCCCCAGTCCCGCTTCCCTGCCCAGGTCCCCCCCCCAGAGGTGACCGCCGCCCGGCAGCGCGGCTCCCCGGCCCTTACCGAGGCGCGCAGGGATGCGCTCCCTCCGCCGGCCGCCTCCAGCCCCCGTCCCGCAGCCCTGGCGATTGTAGCTTTTTTGGAGAAGCTGGGAAGAGGGAAAGAAAGGGGGGGAGGGAAGGGGGAGGGAAGGGACTGAGATCGAGGGAGAGAAGTATGCAAAGGCAGGAAGTGGAGACGGCCACGGCCAGTGCGGGAGATTAATGGGAACCAGTCACCCGGCAGCCAACAAAGAAACCTGCTCCCACAGCGCAGCGCAGCCCGGCCCGGGCTGCCCCGGGCGCCCGAGACGCCGCTCCCGCCAGCAGCGCTCGGCCCCAGCCCCGCGGAGGGGTGGGCGCCCACCCCCCAGGCCCCAAACCCGGGTCCTGGCCAGGCGGGAGGGAGGGAGGGGAGCAGCACGGCGGGACCCGATGGGCGGAGGAGGGGAGGACTGAGACCCCCGCCTGACAGCCTTCCTCCTCCCTTTAGCCCGGAGGGGCGATACAGTTTATTTTTTATTTAAAACACTCCGAGCTCTGCGCTCCTCCCGGCGCGGAGCCGCTTTCGGGGCAGAACGGAAGGAAGGAGGAGAGCAGGCGGCGCATCCTGCGCCAGGCGCGGGACAGATGGATCCCATCAGGGCGCCGGGAGCGGGAGAGCTCCCGGGGCCTTTCCCGAGCTTCCCGGGGTAGCTCGCAGCAACAGCACCTGTGGAGAACGAGGGGGGAAGAGGGAGGCAGCGGCTTGCCTCTGGACTTCATTTCGGGTACCTCAGTTCAGATCCAGCCTGCTGGGAGCAGCTCCTGGCAGCAATTTGGAATGTTCTGCTTCCTCGGGAGCACAGCCCGAGGTGCCCAGTTGGCACACCAGGACACAGGGCATTACACGTACCAGGGGGTGAAGAAGGTCTGTGTGCGGTACAAGCAATAAAGCACGTACTCCGCGCAGGCCACCAACAGCATTGGGCAGGCCAGCTCCCTGGCACACACGTGTGGCTTCTGATGGTTTGGCAGATGAGAAACCTGCACAAGACGTTTGATATAAAAAAAGCACACTGAAGAGGCAGGATACTGGCTGTTAGCAGGACCATGAGTATTGCAAAATACAAAGACTGCTCCTAGATCTTGAAGTATTATGTAGGCATTTATAAAACAAGTCACTTCACAATATATTAACCAAATGACACTAGATACAGAAGGGGAAAAAAAAGAGCGACACCTGTATTCTGCAACTGGAAGTACAAATTCCAGCACTACACATTTCTTGAACTTTAAGCATTTACTGACTTTCTTTCCGTTGACTGAAATGGAAGCAAACTGGTGTTCCACGTTAGGCATATGCTTATGAGGTTTCCTACACCAGGATACTTCTCTGAACACAGAACCAAGTGCTCAGGATAAACTATTCCTGGCTTTTGCCACCTCATCAGCAAAACAAAATACATTGTCTTGAGATATTCTGATCCATCATCCTATACAACAAGGAATCTGGTGTAAATGCCCAGCATTTCACAAGCCTCCATTATATTTCAAAAGAGTGAATGTAAAGGAAATAAGGGTAGCTCTCATCTGGATCCTGATGTGAATGTGTGTTTCAAAGCACAAGCTATTTCAGCTGTCAGCCTTCTTGGGACAGATGTATTTACTCAGCTGCAAAAGGAGTACTGTGTCATCGAACATCAAAAAATGGTGGGAGTTTATATTTCAACACACAAGGAATAATTTACCTCCTGAACAAGCTACTGCTACAAGTACCTGGCAGGAGTAGCAAATGAATGGTTCTCTCCCTGTTAGGAAAAGGATACAGGAGGGCCTTTCCAAGTATATTTCACAAGTGCAGCCAGACAGCAAACTCACCTGCCTCTCCAGGAGACCATTGCTAACAAGGAATGATGCATAGAAAGATATTCAGCTTCCAATTAAGCAGGAAGCAGTCTATTCTGGCTGCTTCTCCAGCCCATCAAACATGCTAACATTGCTTTTATCAAATATTATTTTTCTCCTCTGTTTATGTTTCACTCAGTTCCCCAGACCTCAAGCACTCCAGCAACTGCTTACATTTTCTTGTGAGTACAGGAGACCAAACTTAAGCTGTATCTGAACACTGAGTTGGGGCTCTGAATGTGCTTTAATGAACAAGCAGCCTGCAAAGGGCTTGTTTATTACAGGCCCTGGCTGCTGCTCTGGTTAAGCAACTGGAAGACGACAGTAAAACTTAAACTAGGAGGGGATTATTTTTGCTGTTTGCCAAACAGATTACAGCTAGCAAAGCTCTCAGCAAGAATGGAGGACTTGCAGAATCGGGGCCTCCACGTTAACCTTGGCCATACCGCACTTGAAGAAAGTTTCTGTGCGTATTTAGCCCTTCCCACCGTCACCTCAGGGCACACGGGGTTAGCGAGGCCTCGGGGTGGCTCTGACTCACACGGAGCCGCTTCCCGAGCCCATCTGGCGACTCCAAGCGGTGACCAGGGCCTCGCTGGAGAACCCTCCTGGGACAGACCCGGCTCCCAGGGAGCGAACCGGCTGTTTTGGCAAACCCTGCTCGCAGGGGGCCAAAACGCCGCGCGGTTTCTTTCACCGACCCAGGTGAGCGGGTTTTCCTTCGGGGAGCGGATGCAGATGCTGTGCCCTCTCGCCCGCACCCCCTTCGCCCAGCCGGCCATCGCTACCTACTGCCATCGTCACCTTGCACCTCACAAGTTTTAAAAGAAAACCAAACAGCCGGGCAGCACCCCTGGGCCCGCCGAGTCGAGGTTCCCCACACCGAGCGCTGCCCGGGGCCGCGTCCCAGCGGATCTTCCCGGGCGGGGCGGGGCGGGGCGGCAGCGCCCCCTATCGGTGGCGGCGGGGGGAGGAGGGGCGGGGCCCGCGGGGCGGGGCGGGCCGGGCTGGCGCGTGCGCAGGAGGCGGCGGCGGCTCGCGGCGGCGGCGGGATGGAGGTGGCGCGCGCGGGGCGCACGGCCGGGCTGGCGCGAGATGTGCTGGAGCGCGCGCGGCGCCGGGCGGCGGAACCGGGACCGGGAGCGGGACCGGTCAGTGAGACCCGCACACCTCTCTGTACACACGGCTGTATGTCTGTATACGTGCGAGCCTTAACGAGCGTCCTGAAATACGCTTTGTCACTTCCTAGCCCCCTCCCCGCGCTTTATCCTCCTTTGGAACCGGCGGGGCAGCGCTGGGCCACCCGGGACTGTGCCACCCCAGGGACAGCCTGGAGCGTTTGCTGTTTAATCACTTTCTGCCTCTAAGCAACGAGCACCGCGCTGGGTTACAGAGAATGTCTTTAATTGCAGGAGGAAGAAGCCGAGCGCCTCAGTGCAGCCTTCGATTCGATCGTGAAGCTGATGGGTAAAGCCTCAAGGGAATGCGAGGTGAGGTTTCGCCCCAGACCCGTGCAAAGGGGAATGTTTATGATGTGCCCGGCAGGCACCACTTTTACTGAAAAAATTAGACTTCAGTTTCGCTCATTGCATGGAAAGAGTTCAGCCAGCGAGCCTCTGATGCCGGCCTAGATGAAGACATTTGGGGCATTCACCATCATGTACATGGCAGGTTTCACCGGTGTTATCGCACTTGAGCTGATAAACACCATTGTCAGCATTTTCCATGGCCAGTACCAGTAGCCCGGTGCAGATTTTAGCAGAGGGTTTCTCCATTTCTTGGTGAAAAGGCATTACAGTCAGAGAGGCAGAAATGTCAGGTGACATCACAAATTACATTGTGTCGGCCCCTGCGCAGGCTTTTGTGTCACAATATATGGAGTGTTTCCAGTGCTCCAAAGTATCTCTGCTGTAGAGTGGCTTTATGACATAGTAACCCTTTGTTTCCATCAGGCCAATGTGAAGCACTCATGCTGGCTGACTGTGTTCTGGGTGGTGGAAGTAAGGGAGAGTTCGACTCTCGAGCAAAGAGATTGTTTTGTGTCATGCTTTTGCTCTGAATTTAGAGTTAACCTCCCCAGTATTGTGATTTAACCCCAGTCAGCAACTAAGTACCATACAGCTCACTCCCTTCCCTGCCCCCCTACCCTGGAGGGAATCAGGAGAAAATAAAACTCATGGGTTGAGAGAAGAACAGTTTAATAATTGAAACAAAGTAAAATATAATAATAGTAATGATAATAACAATAATAATAATAATTGTAATGAAAAGGAGAGAGACAAATAAAACCCAAGAAGAACAAGGGATGCACAATACAGTTGCTCACCACCAATGCCCAGCCAGTCCCCAAACAGCAGTCGGCCCCCCCAGCCAACTCTCCCAGTTTATACTGAGCATGACAGTCCATGGTATGGAATATCCTTCTGGCAAGTTTGGGTCAGCTGTCCTGGCTAGGCTCCCTCCCATCTTTTTGTGCACCTCCCTGCTGGCAGAGCATAAGACACTGAAAAGTCCTTGATTTAGGATAAGCACCATTCAACAACCAAAACATCAGTTTGTTATTAACATTATACTTGTGCCAAATCCAAAATACAGCTACTGTACCAGCTACTAGGAAGAAAACCAACTCCATTCCCAGATGAAACCGGGTCGAAGTTGATCTGGGATGTTGCCACTGGATGAGGACTGTGGGCTCAGTTCTGAGCAGCACCATTATCTTTGTGATAAGTAGAAATGGAGGGGTATGGCTTACAGATGCACAGCTTCACTGCTTTCATGCTGGCTTTGGCTGCCAGGTGTCATTGCCTTATGGGGTGGATGGACCGGGAGCCAACCTCTGCCAGCTCATCCTTGTGAACGCAGCCCTGCAGCCCAGCTGCTGCACTGAAGTCTCTGTGGATTCCACCGCAGTTCACAGCGGCTGTGCCCCTTGGGAGCTGTTACAACACAGCAGGGAGCTCGTTGTCTGCAGAGTTAATAACACAGGCTAAGTCTGCAATTACATTAGAGAAAACAGTACTTCATCACGCCAAATGATTAGATCTTAAGCAACTCTTCTATCATTTGAAAGCACTACATACACAGTAACCAGTTAATCCTGAAAACAACTCAGGCAGAATAGAGTTTTACACAAGATGAAACAAAAATATAAGTGTATAGAGATTCATCCTTAGCGGTGGAATTGGCAGTGCTAAGTTTATGGTTGGACTGTATGATCTTAAGGGTGTTTTCCAACCTATATTATTCTATGGGTCTACCTTATGGCCTGCTAACAGTATTAGAGTTGGAAAAGCAGTGAATGATTTCCACACTTATGCATCAGCCAAGACAGTACTGCTTCAGTCATTTCTGTAGAGGAGTCATAAAAAGGGGGAATTGTCAGACCTGTAAGTTCATGGATAAAGTTTAAAAAGCGCAAATAAAAATCTCCAGCTGAACATAACCATTTAGCCACTTAAATGCAAACAATTAGAACTGGGATTTAAGCTGAGTTGTTTGGAGTTACTAAGGGACCAAAGTTTACCCTCATTACTCACCAAAAGTTTGATTTAATGTCTTTGCTCTGTGCCATCACGTAAAAGAATCCAGCTCACCTCCTGTGATACAGAGATGTGCTGCAAAGCATTATGCAATAGGTCAGAGCATTTGATGCATTTTGGGACATAGCTCCACAGAAACCACAATACAAGCAACCAGATCTCTTGATTTGTGCATAAGCTCAAGGAATAAAGCATAGCAGTAGATCTGGAAATAAGAATTGCTATTAGCCTTATTTTTGTTACGTTTAGTCCTGACAGCGAGGGTCGAGGACAACGTAAGTGAAATAAAATAGATATTTTGGAACTTTTTGGTCCCTGTGATCAAAAAGGTAACCCTGGGAGGAGTTCTCTTGTGACAACAGATGGCAGCAGAGCTGTACTCTAATATTTAATTTGCAGTGAGGAAGGTTCCAGTACCTTTGCAGCTGAACCAGAAGAGGGCTGCTGTAGACTTAAATACAGTTCTCAAAACTGCTGTGCTACTGGTACCAGCCTTGAAAACACTTTAGGTTCTTTACTGACTCAGTTTTCAGTATTAACATGTTCTGCTTTTAGAGTGCTGCTCCTGCATGTGCCCTGCAGAATGAATCTTCACTGGCTAGGTTGCAAAGCACCTCGCTGGCATATATGTCCTATTAAGGACCCATAAACTGTGCCTTCTTCCACCCGAGCTTTTCTTGAAGAGCCTGATCAGGAAGGTATTTCCAGAGTATTCCTTCTGACATTTTCATGAGTTCAGTTCTGAGGTGCCAGAGTCCCCCCCTACATATTGTGTCAGGAGACAGGCTTCTAAAATCAGGGCTGACAGTCTTGTACCGTAAGGCAGGTGTCTTGTGGACATCCAGGCATTGTTTTCATCCTCACAAGAGAACAAACCAGCCAATTAATACAGGAAGTCAGTAGCTGTGCAGTTCCACTTTCAGTTGTAAATCTGCAGTAGCTGTGAGTATGGCCTTTGATGCCTCCCCACATAATATTCTGTGTTTCTATTGTTGTCCAGAAGTACTATAGCTTCGTGGGAGCCCCAAGGTGCAAAGAGCATGAAATTAAACACATCTGCAAATACCATGGCAAGCAGGCAGAGGAAAGAGAGGTGGAAGAAGAGGTAGGTACTTTTGGTTTTGATTTAAGGTTATTCCTTCCCTTGCAGCAGGATAATTGTTATCCATCCATCTGTGAGACACTAATATATGTAGGTTGACAGTATGGACTTAGGAACTCCTGGACTGATCTAAGCCTTCTGTTGGGTGGTGGGAAGACAGAGTAACTTCTGGTGGCACCAACCAGTGTCATATCAGTCCTTTCATGGAGGGGAAAATTTCCTGCACATGACACATCGCCTCACTTGGGCTGGATGTGTTGTATCATTAGAAAACAGTATCTTTTTCTTTCCAGAGGTCTGAAGCTTCCAGAGCACCCAGTCGAGCTCAAACTTGCCAGCAACGTGTAAGCTTATAGAGTACTTTGTTTTTAAATTGAGGTATTTGATAGCATTTCTTTATCATCATTTTGCATCAAGCTGGTTAAAAATTGTGACAGATGTGGAGACTTGGATGACACAGAAGATTAACGAGTGGTGCGTTCCTAGTCCTGGGTAGGGGTATGTATAGGCAGGAAAATGGGCACACCGAGAGTTGCACAGTTAATCAGAAGCCAGATTGTGGCATTCTGGCACATAACCAGTTAAGAGTCTGTACCAGTTAGACTGGTACAGAACGTGAAACACCAATAAAGCTCTAGGCTTTTGTGAATTACATCAGCAGCAATAAGGCAGCACTTCTCCAGTCTCACCTCACTTGTGCTCCTGAAGAAAAGTGTGCAGCAAGGCACACAGCAGTTGTTTAGCCATTTACTCTTGGCCCTCATACAGGCTCTCTGAAGACTCCTGTTCCTCAAGGAGAAGAAATCTGGTTTTATTTCTAAAAGCCTAACACCTCACCAAATCAATTTCAAGAACTGCTAAGACACAATAGACAAGAAACACAGAATTTGTCCCACAGTACAAATTAGTGGGAGCACCCTTATGATAGGGAATGTTTTCCAGGTTTATGTTCAAAACTGTCTAGGTTGCTAACTTTCAGTTTTGTGAGACACAGATTACAGCACAGTGATCACTTCCACAGGAACATTTCACAGTTTTGTCCACGCTGATTTTGAAAAATCTTAGTACGTTTGTATAGCAGCTGAAATGTAATTTTTTTAACCAAATTCAAAATTTTTATTTTTGTGGGAAATCTAGGATGGCTAACCAGTAATGAAGCATTTTTTTTTTTTCCTCTTAAAGACCAGACAAGCTTCCAAAGACTTGTATATCGAAGTTTCTCCCGGCATCTATTCTGTCACAGCAATCTCAGATGACATGGTGAAAAAAACCCTCGTAGTAGGTGTCAATGCAGGACAAAGTGTTGATTTGACTTTTGTTCTGTGATGTTTGTTGTTTCTTGACATCACGGGAATAAAATACAAGGCTCTTTTTACTGCATGTAATGAACTATAAATATCCTTTTCTTGTTAGCACTTTAATAGTAGCTTCCTCTTTGGGACTCCATTTTTATGGTCTGTATATTTGTTTTCTACTTAATTCAATTATATGCAACCCACTTTGTACACTGATTTTATAAATATTTGTACACTGTGTGCCTTTTAAATCCAATTATGTGACTGTGTAATTCCAGATTCTTCTGCTTTAAACAACTAAAGATACAATCAGTGAAATAAAATACATGATCAAGCCTTTGTGAGGACTGCTTCTTTTATAGTATGCTCAGACAGAACCTCCATGTCGCATTGTGGACCACAGAGAGCATGATCCATGTGGTATGAATATGGATGTGCATTAGCTTCTGTAGGATGGCACTGATTTTAGAGCAGCTGGCTCATAATCCATTCTCTTATCTATACTTTTACTATTCTAATAAAGAAATAAAATGTAAACAGAATTCACTACCTAGGACCCCAGCTCAGAAAGGTGCTTGAATATATGTCAGATGTTCAGTACAGGCACGTAAATTATTGACCCCTCAAGTCCTGTCCCTTTGCAGACCAGGCTCAACCCCAGTTAGCTGCCTTTTCTGAGGGCAGTGGGGTACCCTGAATTATCCTGTTTCCTGCAGGGGAAAAGTACTGCTGAGTACCTGCAGACTGCAGCTTATGGACAAGTTCATATGCTTTTAACATGAGCAGTCCTGCTAACAAAATTCCCTGGATGCTTTACTTTCCCAAAGGATCAGGTTCCATGTTTAGAATTAGTGATGTGACCTATATAGATCTGTCATCTTTTTGTAGCTGATGTATTAAGGTTTCAGTAATTTTCATTTGAACATAAAATTCAGTGACTTGAATGCTGGATCTCTAAGCATTTTGTTATTTGTTTCTACAGTAGCAGGTCTTTTACCCTCTGGCTACTTTGTCTTCTGCTTTAATCCTGAAAAAAATACTTTCAGCTGTCAACTTGTATTGTTTCTGCATTCCTTCTGGCTTTCTACTAACAAAAATTGCTTTCCTGAATTCCTCTGGCTCACTCTAGAGAACTGTAGCCAAATTGGAGGTTTATTGGACTCTTATTGTGCATCTGTTCAGGCTTTTAGTGCTCATACTAGTTCATCTGATCTCTCCAGAACTGTAAAGTCAAGTTCAAGTAGTTAGGAATTTATTATCACACCTTGGAGTAAAGAGTGAGGATGCTGAAGTTTGATGTGGGTAGAAATATACTTTCTCAGTATTAAAACTATATAGTCATCCATAAAGGTATTCCACTGAGACAGTACCTAAACCAGAACTTGATTTGCTTAATAAGTAGAACACTGATAGAGTATAAGCAGTTTACCTGAAATTTCAGCCCCTGAACTTCATCAGTTCATGTGCTGAATTCTGGTTGATCATGTCTCTCTCTGCTTTGTTGCAAGTGAGCTCTGACATGCTCTATAACATCAAGTTTGTCATCGCCCACGCAAGTCGCTTTACATTTATCATCTGACGCTCTTTTGTTTCTTTGTTTTTCTGATGCTGCAAAACCTTCTTCCTGGAGGACAGAAAACAAATCCCTTGGAAATCAAGGCTAAAAAAAGCATCAGTGTCTTTGTTAACCGCTGCTTTCCTGGCTGTACCTCTGCCTCACGTAGCCTTAACAATGGTATATTTTCTGTGCTGGTACAAACTTTACTGCTGAAACAGAGAATTGGACAGTTAAGACCAAAGGATTTTCAGAAGATGTTAGGCTTTGATGAAAAATTTTGCTGCTTTAGAAGTTAGGAGGATTGTTGTTGACTGCAGAGAGAGGACATCAGCCCCCCAGAGAGCACCTCTGGGAAGCCCATGGTCTAGCTTCACTTGTTTGTTGCAAGTCACTTCTGATGCAGTCTGTACCACATGATAAAACTGCCTCAGCTATCTCAAAGAGTACCAATGTATCTTCTAGGTTTAAAATCACCAAGGGCTATTTTACAGGAATAAAAGGATGTCATTATACCCTGTATTACCACATTGTGCCCAGCTGCTGTGGTTCATGCTGCTGGTTTGGGGCTAGAATTAAACAATTCTGCTTTCTTATTAGTTTTACCAAAAGGCAAATCACGTCACTTCAGTGCACAGCTGTGACACTTACTAACATACAGCATGTCTGACTGAAGCTCCACATTAGCTTGTAAATTCCTAGGAAATCAATTAAAAAGGTGTGTAATTATGATTATTTTAATAATAAAGTAGAATAGAAATAGAAAGTAGGAACCACACAGTTAATAAGTTGGTGAGCATCTGCTTAAAATGAATGCATATAATTGTGAGAATATGTCTTCCAGTATATTCTCTGTTCAGTAAGACATGTCATGAACAGATTCATCTTCTCCTAAATGTACAAGGTTAGAATGTTCAAAGGTTTTTTGGAGTCAGCTTACAGTAGCAAGAGCATGAAGGTACAGAGGAGCTAATATTTGATTTCTGATATATAATTTATTAATTGTACCCCAGATGCTCTTGTGCTGACATTCTCTTTCATCTTCCACTTCTTCCTGTAAGCTTTTTTCTTCCTTTTTTCTGTGCTTGCTTTTTTTAGCATTCATGTTCTGATTTTTTTTTCCAAGTTTTTCTAAAGCAGGAGGGATCATGGCCAACAGAAACCAGGCCTAAAAACCAGGGTGTTGTCCTTGTTCCTAGCTGTGACACAGTTTGCTTACTCTGTATCCCCAGCTTTAGGGTAGGGATCTGCTGTTTAAACTGCTTGCTTCTTGCAAGGGAGTAAGAGAAGAAACTTGGCAAAAACTGTTTACTAAAGAATCTGCTTTTATCTTTCAGAGACAAAGATTGTGACAATCAGAATTTGACTGGCAGAGCTCAGCACCTTTCCAGGTTGAGTCTTTCCTTGTGTTCTATTGCTGCTAACAGTCACATCTGTCCATTTCTAGGGCCACTCATCTAGGTCTCTACTTCCATAGGACTTCACTGAGTTGCTGTCAATGGGCATTTGGAAGGTTTCTGAACTGAACTCTGCATTATTAAATGCTCACACGGTCACTGCCATAATCGGTTCTATTTTACCAAGTAGCTTCAGCCCTTCCTTAGGGTTTGGGGATTTTAGTTTCCTGTTAGTGGAGAAGTTTCCTACCTATCACAAAACAGGTGGATGGCCTTAGCAAGCAGTTAAATTAGAAACCATGTAGTTGTCTTACCAGCTCCCAGACCATTAACAAGAATATCTTTTCCATTCAAACAAACCTCATGCTTATATAACTACACTATTAATACAGATTACCTTACCTCCAGTGATGGCTTGAAATCTTGGTCTCTTAAGATTTCTTTCACTGTGAGTTGCCCTCTGGGAGACAGCTCAATGGTTTCAAACATTGCACTCCGATTAGCTGGGCCCACATGGGATGTGTCCCCAATGGAGATGGCTTTGGATTCCAGCTTGCCCTTCATACATGTGCTGCTGCAACTGCCAAGTCCTGGGAAGGAGTAAAATTGTGTGTAAGAGTAAAACCAGAACTGAAACAGAGAATCATTTGTTTCAGAAGAGAGAAAATTTAAGCCTGCAATTTAAGCCTGAAAGGAATTCTTCCAGGTTATTCAGCATGGACTAGCTATGCAGGTTAATGAAATTAACTGTTGTGGTATTTTTCCATGAGATGAGTTGCTAAAAGAAGAGCTACCATGCCAGATGAGGCAACAGAAACATTGGGGAGGGAGAAGTATTGTATCAGAGACTAACATGCAAATTTACAGTACTAATCCCAATAACCAATAACCTACAGGCAGAGTGACTGCCCTGCCCAGAGCACATTTGGTTTTGTTCCCTCTGACTGCTGCTTCTCTGTGGAGATGTTAAAAGGTACCTGAATTACTGAAATGTGACCTGTGGTGGGTTCTTTTCCAGTATTTCCACTGAGGTCTGGCAGAATCCTTTAGCTTGGGCTTTTCAAGACAGCCACAGGCTGTGTTAACAGCACTGTCCACCACAGTACTCCTAGTGGGGAGTGGCTTCAGGTCCCACTTTGAATCAGAAGAGGAGGAAGATGTAGCCACAGCTGCAGCTGCTTCTTGTTTTGTGCCTTCCAGTTCTAGAAGGCCTGGAGACGGCTCACTGCTGGACTCTGCCTCTTCAGATTTGTTCTGAAAGACCAGAGACCTGGATGGAAGAGACCGCCAGGCATCAGCACAGGGGTGACAGCAGCAGATGCACCTTACACATCCTGACAAACAGCACAAAGCACCACCACAGTGGTAGTGGAAATGTGGCCAGCAGGGTGAGCAGAGCAAGCAGTGCTTGGCAAGGCTGTGTCCAGCATAAACAGGAATGAGGGCTGGTTTAGGACTGTAGGGAAAAATAAAAGAGCCAGCGTCCGGATTTTCTCTGGACTTCAGCCTGCTGGTGAAGGGCATGTGGATCATCTCTACAATCCTCTCCCACAGGCCAGGAGGGATCCACAGAGCCACATTACGTGGGAGTTTCACTTTCTTATCATTCCAGAACTGGACTGTAATTTCTTCATCTTCTGAGGCTGTTAAGAGAAAAAGTAAGCAGCCATAAGCAGCTGGCCTGCCTGGGCAGTGCACATACACAGATCAGGCTTTGCAGCTTTGTACACTTTCCACTTCTGTCAAGCAGCAGGATCAACTATCACCCCTCTAAAGCATCTCACCATAATGTTGGGGGGGTAGAGTGGGCAGCTAGGGCACCATCACTAAAACACAGGACTGGCAGCATCTTTCCTCCCAATCTGTCATCAGATGAACAAGAAACTGTTGACTGACTAATCTTTGTTTTTACTGCCAAAGTTAGCAGCAGTGCTCTGAGGAAAGTATTTTGGTAAGTCAGTGGAGCTTGACTGTCAAATGTGGGAAAAATTAATGAGCTGTTGAAATCTCCTATGTTTGGGTGATAAAATCACCCCCAGATGTACCATTTGTTACAAATGTGAGCATTTAAGATCAGATGAATGCTTCCTGAAAGTTGTCTCATTTGTATTCCTTGTGAAAAGGCCACAGTCCTGCACATGGCAGACACAGCCCTGTCCCAGCAACACCCACGGACACAGATGACATTTTTATGGGTCACAACTTCCTTAGGGTCAGACCGATAAGATTACACACAGATATCCATCAGCAAGTCCCATCAGCTCCTGTAAGCTCTAAGCAACACTAAACTGTACTCTGTGCACTGTTATTCCTCTGGCAGTTGCACAGTGACAAGAGTTTATTGTGACAAGCGTTTATCCCAACAGTCTCACGCGTGTTCCAGAGCAAGACAAGAAGGGAGAGGGCAACATCTTTCTTACCTCTTAAGGGGTCCCTTGTCTCAATGCCTGTGAGGACGGTTCCTGGGCCATACCTGGCCATATCTGGCTCCCAGGGTGCCAGCACTTTGTCTCCAGGGAGTAAGGAGTGCTTCATCCCATTCACATACTCCAGAATGTCATCCTTTGCTGTTTTTTGCACACGCACTGGATGCTTTCCACGGGACACAAGTGGTTTGGTAAACTCTACCAGGAACATGCCTCTTTCACTCTGTTACCGAGAACAAAATAGCAGTTCCACTGAAAAACACCCTATAATGTGTCAGGTCATGTAACCCTCAGTAGGAGGCCATCCTGTGCCTATGTGACTAGGCCAAACCAAGCCTGAACAGTAGCTAAATAGTGTGTGGTTTTAGTCCAGCACTGAGATGGCCAGAAAAATCTTCAAGAGGCTCACCAGAAAGCAGGATGAGCAAAGCATATGTATAGAGTCACTGCCACTAGGATCTGTATTTTCTTTCCCAAGAGAAAAAGCTATAGACAAGTGTAACTGGATTTCACAAACACCACCATGTGTGCCAAGTAACAAGGGACACTGAAGCCTTTCAGACCTGTTCTTAAATTGTGCCTAAGTCTTCCTCATTACATACAAGACTAACTCTGCTTTCCATCAACAATTAAGTGAGGTACTTCCCTGTTCTTGAGAAAGAATGGGCTCTTTTTTGTGTTAAGTTTGAAGTGCTAACAAACCAATGAATTAAAGCTTTCACTGACATTTCTGGAAAGACCCCAAGCCATTGGTCTGTAGCTGACTCAAGGTGGATGTGTGTACACAAAACACTAACCCTTTGCCTGTGCTATTGATGGTTATGTGTGTACACACAACAGCAGCCCGTACACTGCTTGCAATGGCACTCAGGCTGTCTGAGCCTGGCTCAGTGCCCAGCACCAGCAGAGGCAGAGGACTGCTCTTCCAAGGTGCACAACAACACTGCTTTCACCAGGAACTGGGAGTCTGTGGGGCACCCATTTTCTGCACAAGATGAGGATCCCTGAAACACACCTGCTCACTGCTAGGGATGGACTCAGCAAAGGGGGCTGAGCAGAGCACGGTTCTGACCATCATTAGTTTATTGGTGCCTGTACACAAGAGGTTCACATGGCTTGTGAGGCAACAGGAGGTAAGGAACAGCCTGGAATCAGGTATGTTGGGAGCTTTATGATAACCACAAGCTCCAGCTGTCCTGGTGATCTGTTCTCTAATTCATGCACCAGCTGAAACCAAAACTGCTACACTGAATTCAGGTGGTGTGTGAGGACTGCTCCCTGTTACTCACACCCATGTTACTGTACCATTGCTCACCTCTATCTCCTCTTTTACTGTACCATGGTAATAAAATCCATCTTGTTCCCTTCTCACCAGCACAGGCACGTTGCTGTCTATGCACACGGATCTCCCCAGTCTCTCCCATGCCAGGCAGGGGGAGTGGAGGCAGTGGCTAATCCATTGGCACCTTGAAGAAAAGAAAATGGGTCAGCAGTGAGAGAAATAGCTTCTGTAGGTCATGAAAAAAAAAACAAAAAACTTTTAAGATTTCAGAACTGGAATGCCCCATCTCATTTTCTACCACTCCCACAGGCCAAAGAATGTGGGAAGAAACAGAAAACTTGCCTGTGCAGGGACAGTTACTTTTTCTTGGGAAAAACATATCAGTGTCTGCTTTTACCCAGATTTCTTTGGTTTTAGGTTTAGAGGAAGCAGTCTGCTGGAATCCTGGGCCAGGAATATCTGCACTATCCCTTTGCTGTTTACGTGGCAAGACAATGCAACCCTTCCCCAGCACAGAGCACAGCGTAGGCGTGCTTGAGAATGCTGTAGCTGATGGTTTACACTGAAGCATTCGGGGAACAGCAAAGCAGAGAAGTAAACAACCAAGCTGCTGGTTGATGACAGGTTCAAGTTCAAAACTTGAAAAATAATCTTCTGTCACAAAGCATTAGAAACATTTCACAGAAGACAGCTGCTAATGCAAGATGCTTTTATTTATCCAAATAATATTATAGGAATGTTTCTTTGATAGGAGGCTTACTCAGGCTTTGCTTTTCATAATCTCCAAGGTAGCAAATTACTTCAGTTAACACCATCTAAAAAACTGCCAGTGCAGGGGTGGAAAAGCCCAAATGATGTTCAAACTGCTAATTTATTAATCTGACACACCAGCCTGGTTTATCCTATTAGATATCATGGAAAAAAACAAATCACAGACTCAAACAGGAATTGATCTTACCTCTGGGGAGTGAGGGGCTCAGCGATCCAGGCAGGATACACTACAAAAGAGCTCCTGCAGGTGGGGTTAATGGCAGGTACAATGCTGGAACACGAGAACTTGTCCAGAGCTGGCCTCACATTGCAATACCTGAGACTCGTAGGCAGGAACCCTTCCAAATGAGCCATTCTTGCAAAAGCAGATACCTGCAGGACTCAGTCGTGATCTGTTGGTAGAAAAGAGACAAAGTACTGGCATTTCTAACACAAAGAAATGCTTTCCAGCGTACCTCAAGAACTCAGTACTTTTGATTAGTTGTTTATTTTTATTTAAAAACACCGAATTCAGAATATTCAGACCGGCATTTGGCCAGATGAATCCATATCACTGCCTTCAGTGATCTTCAGTCACCCAAATCCCGACCTGAAAGAGGGACAGAAACACCCAGGGAAATGACAAATGTTATGAAAATCTCCAGAAAAAGAATAATTTTCACCTCCTTCCAACGTTTGTTTCCCTCTGTAAAATCCAGCTCTTTTCTTATACCTATACTCTCCTTTAAAGCTTTCTTGTACACAGTGCCAGCCAAACCTTCGCTGTTTTACAAACTGAGACAGAAATTACAGCTGAAGTTGACAAGCTGAGTAAACGTGACAGTTTTTGAACGTGATGTTAGATTACCATTGCCTGTTGTTTATTTATAGTGATGTATTAAGAGGAAATATTTTGATCTCTCAGCTGTCCTGTCATGTTTTATAACAGCAGGATTATGGCTTGCAATGAGAAAGAATGAGATGCTCAGATGTGACAAGTGATAACTATTCAGAGGCTGTCACAGTAAGATCAATGATGTGATGCTATCTCTGGTAATTTAAAAAGATGTAGTAGACAAGCTTCCATTCATTTTCCTTTTTTTTTTTTTTTAACATTGCTTAGAAACATTTAGCATGCTTAGGGTAAAATTTGCATCGAAATTCAACAACATAAAATTTAAGTGCTTTATTTTACAAAATGCAATTTAAGCACTCCTGTTTAGATATTTTGATAAACTCCAGTTTAGATATTTTGTCTCTTATCTAAGAAATATCATCTGGAAGTCTTTTTTGTGGAGACTCCCAGATATACATAATTTCAGAAAACTAGCAGAGCAAACCCAGCAAGAAGAGTGGGTTAACTGCTGTAGAATGCATCTTTAAGTCAGTAAATCAACACAATATATCCAATTGTTTCGTAACTATACAGACCCCCTCCTTATAAAACCAAAACAGGACAGAATCAGTAATACTTTGCAAAGAAATGCAACTATCATTCCTACCATTCAGCACTGTTACTGCTGAGGGCAGGGACTCCCGTACAAAACAGGTCACTGACAAAGGCAACTACACTATATTCTGAGATTTTATTTCTGGATAACTCCAAACAGTTTGACACAGCAGAATCTCAAACTTACCAGCTATTGGTAACAGTGCATCTGGTCAGTTTGGATTTAGTCTGAGTGCAGAAATCTTGCCCTTTTGCCCGTTGGACACAGGAGGCCTTTTGCTGCCAGTGTTTCCTGGTTGCTATGGAGGTTGCCATAGTTGTTACTTCCAGGATTGGACATCCTGACCTTACTACTTAAAAAGCAGTGGAACAGGACTACTGAGAGGACCATTTGTCTGCCACACATTCGCTCAGTGTTCGTGTGGATTTAGGTACTGCACTGAAAGGCTGCAGGGGCAGAGAAAGGATTATTAAGAGAGCTCAGTGTCCTCTAGGCCTACTCTCGCAGGATAAAAACAGCATCAAAGCCACAATTCAGATTTAAGGGGGAAAAAAAGCCCGCCACCACAGGGCATGACAAGTAAATTGCTTTGAAATATGAAAAGAAAGGTTGAAGCTGAGGTAAACCAAAGTCAAATCGCTTTACAACTTTCTCCTATTGCACTAAGGGGGAAGGATTACAAATTCTACCCCTTTCCCACAACATGTCTATCAAAAACATGACAGAATATAAAGCAGAAATCCACCTGTTAATCTCTGCTGTGATCACTAATCTTCATTTCCTCCTTAAAACAGTTAACAACTGGGGTTTGATTTGTCGTTTGGTTTTGTGATTGTGGGTTTCTTTGGAGAGTGTGCGTTTGGAATGCTCAATTGCCTTTTGTAGGAATTTTCCAATTCACTGCTATAAAAACAATGTAACGGGGGGATGACTGCAATTAGAGACAAGGATACATCACTTAAGAAGTCTGTAACCATTTCTTTGTGCATTCTGCTGTGCATGCTACATGCTCTCGTGCTGCCAGCAGAATTGCTCAGTATCAATAATACGATCCCCTTACGCAGAGCAAATGTTAAGAACACTTTTACCAGTTGTGAGCTAAACTCTTCATCATCTTCACACAAATCTATCCCACAACAGCTGACTGAAACCATCAGTAGTACAGAGGAACAGACTGGGAGGCTGGGGAAGACCACCCCAGACCTCAACCATTATCAGTCAAAGACCCGAAAAATTTCTGTTGCAGGATTGTTTTTTCCCCCATAGCCAAGACCTTCCCAGCCTTCTTTATGTAGTGTATTGGGTGAGCAGTTCTAGTGATTTTTAAGGGTAGTGACATCCAAATAAGAATCCAATTTTCAACCAAAATTAGGCTAGGTCAATAGTTTTCAATGTGATTAAAATATTTATTAATAAGAAAACAGTGAAACAGCACATGCAAAACTTAATGATCTTCCTATGTTCAGTAACTGTGCTGCAGAAAGCTGCTACCCTACTCTATTTCTCCCCTTTAAACTAAGTTATTCTTTCTGTTGGCATCTAACAACACTCCTTGGAACCTTTAAAAGGGTCTTTTAAGAGAAGCATTGGCAATCATGAATCTTTTAATAAAGTGTATGTGAGAGTAAATCAGTAACATTACAAAAAATGAGAAGAATCTCAGTCCCATCAGCAGAAAGATTTTATTTTAAAGCATGCAGATTGTGATGATACATACAGTTGCTTCACACGTATAGGTGCTACATTTTTAGCTTGGTGACAAATTTAGAAACGCTTCCTGATTTTCATGAATTAACTTAGGTCATTCAGCTGAGATTTTCCCAGTGGTCTTTTTCGTATCTAAGTTTAGTTACTATCTGCAAAACTAAAGCTCCTGTGTGGGCTGACACTGACGTGTGCTCCGAGCTGCTCCCAAGATGTGCCAGGAACACTCACGTCATTAATGGAGTGGCTACTACGCTCCCAGACACGGTACCTTTTGCTTGGTTTGCAACACTTTAGATCGCCTGCAAAAACTGGTTCTGTTTGTTAATTGCTTTAGGAGCTTGGCTTGGCTCCATGATGTTTTTTCCTGCCACCACAGAATCACTGTACAGAACAGACTGCAGGTACCTAATGTATTTTATTGCAGCACGGAGTGTCTCTACCTTGCTGAGCCGTTTCTCCAAGTATTCCTTTGGCAGGTGATGCCTCAGCTTAGCATAGCCTTCATTGACACACTTAACCCGCTGCCTTTCCCTCTCATTCCTCTTCCTGATGAAAGCTGGCCCGTAGGAGTACTCACTTCTGTGGAAATTGGAATGGGGCATTTGGTAGGGAAAGGTACAGGGCTCACTGTAGAAGTTCTCTGTGATGAGATGCTCAGACATGAAAGGAAGGAACGACAAATCCTCACAGCAAGTGACCTGGTTTGGTGTTTCTGGGTGCACGTGGAATGTGACCAGTGGGTCGGCACAGAAAGGCCGGGCCAGTTGTATGCGCTGGGTCTCAGTACAGATGAGGTTACAGTAGCTTTTGCCATCCATCAGGTTCTGCATTTAACCTGTAAACACACAGTTACATAAGAGTTTAAACCACTCTTATTGAACAGTAATAAAAACACCTCATGCAGACCCACCAGCACTTGGCCTCGCTGGCATTTTCCAGAAGAGATTTTGAATGCATTTGTGACATTTCAGAAAGGTGTTAGAAGATCACCAGATAGAGCAAACAATTTGCCGTTTAAAAAAACAGAAAGTGTAAGTTAACAACACTGATTAAAATAATTCACAACAGGAAAGAGCAAGCAGTCTCCTTTCACCTCAGATTTAGAAATTAAGAGAATCTACGTACTCCACATGAGTCTAGCTTGCTCCAAATCCACCAAAACTTACATGTCTGTAGACAATAAACAAAGCAGGCCAACATCTGAGATATTCTCTCCACCCCCTTCTCCTCCTGAAAAAAAATTAAATCTACAATTGCAGTAAAAGACTCCCTATTCATACCAAAAAGCCTTCAAAGACAAATAATTTTTTCTCTCTGTTCACTTGATGTCTCATTCACCATACTGTCTTAAATAGATGGAAAGTTTGTGCTATCCCAGTCTTAGTTTCATGTCTGTCAGGTACTACATCCACTCAACATAAAAAGGTTTAAAAGAAGTTTAGAGAATTTAGAAAGAAGAGAGAATTTCTGCTAAGCCTAACATCTCCTTGGGTCCTCATGCTCCTCCTCCACTCACCTGCAGATTAAACACAGATATGAAATACTAAATACAATCCTATTGATAGAGGACTATAATCAATAAAAATAATCAATATTAAAGGAAAAAAATATATGTCCTAAGAAAGGACTGCACGCAGTTGTTGGGGCACTGCTCTGACTCAGACTGGCCTACTAAAACCCCATATCCTCTCTTCAGGGCAGCATTACAGCAGGTGTAACTATTTAAATCACCCTTACAGATTTATTACAAAGATAATCTTGCAATGGTTTATAGGAAGCTACATTATAGTGTCTTCTCAATATCATTATTCAAACAGCTAAATATCAGCATAGGTGCTGATAATGTAATGACTGTCACCTAATAGCTACTTAAAATACACTTGAAATTACTAGTTAATTTTAAAAGAATTACTGTGAGCCATCCTTACAGCTTGAAGGCAATACTTGCCTACACAGAATTTATCCAAAAATGTTCTTACTCACCATCCACTTGCACATCTGTACATTGCTGTCTAAAGCACTTAAGTTATATTACATCCTCTAAAATGGAATCCACACCTGAACATTCAGCTAGGTTACTAGACACATCTAGATTCCATACTCACAAAAATCTTACAAAGCTTCAAATGCTCCAATCACAGCTCCAATAACATAAATGGGATCCCCTGAATCCTTCACAAGGATATGGGGATATTGTAATGTTTTCTAATGACTTCATACCTGCCATGCTTATACAGAGAGAATTTTTTACTCAGTGTGGACCGGTCCTCTCAACATATTCTATGAAAATGCCTCTGAACTCAGTGTTGTCTCTCTTTCTAGTGCACATAGATTTCACGACAGAAATCCAATTAATTAAGAATTCACTTATAGTGTGCTGTTAGACATGAGTGAAAGTCACATGCATCTTAAACAGGTACTTCTGTAGGTAGGCTGAAAGCATGAACACACATCCATTTCACATTAGTATGCATGCAAAAAAATCAAGAGGTGAATTATACACTCATCGTAAAATCAAAACAATAGCCAGTCATCTTTCCTTTTTCTACTTACACAGGTTATTGTCTAAAAACTTTCTACTGCTAGCAACTTAAAAACACTGTCTGAGGAAAAAGTCTGCGACATAGCAAAACAAAAACTTACAGCAAAACATCATTACAGAGCAAGAAATCAAAACCAACACAACTCCTCAAGAAGAGATACTTGCAGTATTTGTTGCTTAGTACTGACACTTCTGCTGGACAACAGCGTTACATAAAACAGTTACCTGCTGCCTTACTACCAGCACAAAGTGCAAAATTCAAGTGTTAGGAACATTTTCCTCTTAGACCAGAGACTCACCAATCTTCAGATGGAAGTAAAATCCAGGAAACAAGACGTGCTATTTTAAGAGTGATGAATACCTGAAAATATCTGAATGATATTTAAAAAAAAAGAAATTAATGTTCCATTTTTCTTACACCTTATTAAATAAGAGATCGTATTAAACAGGATTAATTAAAGAGCTATGGAAGCATTGTTAGTGAATGGCTGGTAGAAGTGATTTTCAAAAACACTGATATTCAGTGAAGATCTTGGCTAGATACAGCAACATGCAAGTCTCTTACCTGAATTGTGTCGCTTGTTCCGCTGAGTCAATGACTGCTGCAATTTATAGTCAACTGACAACATGCAAAGTAGCTTACAGTTAGATCTGCTCATTTCTGGTTGGGCTCTTCCACCCACACCACAGCTATGATGGCAACAAAACTTGGCACCAAGGGCTAGAAATTTTGAAACTGTTATTGAATACATCCAGATTACCTGAAAAAGTATTAGGAACCTACTTTGTTTACTTCCTGTATACATTCTGTTACAGTTTACTAAAG